TTTCTCTGACTGACTTATTTCACTTAGCATAATGCTCTCCAGCTCCATCCATGCTGTTGCAAATGGTAGGAGTTCCTTCCTTTTTACAGCAGCATAGTATTCCATTGTGTAGATGTACCACAGTTTTTTTAATCCATAGCCCTCGTCTTGATGCAGCAGAATTAGCACTGACTATGCAGCTTCTGCAATTGAAGACTCATGTGAGGCCTTCAGACTCCTAATGGTGCTGTCGTTAGTGTGTTAGGATGTGTGAGAGGGGGGTGAAGGCCAGTGATCACCAAATAGACACACATACTTTCGGGGTTACTGGATAAACAACCTAATTTGTGGTATGGGCCACACCTGGGTCACTACCCTAAAACGTCAGAAACTCCTTTGCTTTTCTGTAAAGTTCTGTAGCTCCTCCTAAGGCACAGGCTCCAATTCAAGGCTCTGGTGATATGTTGGAATATTCTCATTCCCTCAGCACATCATAGTCTTGACATCCTTTACACATGCTTTTTTCTGTACTTGGAATGCTTTCCCACTCTTCACCTTTCCACTCCCCACTTTCCTGCAGAGGCAACACTTGTGCCTAGAAAGCCTTTTCTATTCCTCTGTAGTGGGAAGGGTCCACCCTCTGTCCTCCAAGGCAGCCTAGTCTTGCTTCTGTCATTGTACCTGTCCCACCATCTTCCCACTGTCTCCCAGAATGTCTCCCCATTAGACTACTGGTATGTGCTTGCTGGGGATTTGCAACAGATTCTTTAAGTGAATGAATGCATCCAGCAGTGGAATACCAAGTTCAGAACCCAACTTTACACAAAGTCCTTTCTTTTACCCTATGCTCTGTCGGCTGTAAAAGAAATAGCTACTTTTAATAGGTGGTTAGGGAAATTGAAGTCTTTAGAGCAGCGGTTCTCAACCTGTGGGTCACCAACCTGTGGGTCGCGACCCCTTTGGGGGTCAAACGACCCTTTCACAGGGGTTGCCTAAGACCATCGGAAAACACATATATAATTACATATTGTTTTTGTGATTAATCACTATGCTTTAATTATGTTCAATTTGTAACAATGAAAATACATCCTGCATATCAGATATTTACATTACGATTCATAACAGTAGCAAAATTACAGTTATGAAGTAGCAACGAAAATAATTTTATGGTTGGGGGTCACCACAACATGAGGAACTGTATTAAAGGGTCGCGGCATTAGGAAGGTTGAGAACCACTGCTTTAGAGGAAAAAAGGAGTAGCTGGCCTGTCACCTCCTTTTAATCTGACATTTATTTGCTCTTCTGGGCAAGATAAATAATCTCTAGTTACTAGATTATTGACTACAGAGAGGGTCTTGGCTCTCAAGAAAAATCAAGTGAGATTGTAAGTATCCTTATGCATAAACAAAGCATTAGTTCTACAAAAGAAAACCCGAGACACCTCTCTACCACAGCTGTACTTGACAGTGGTTCCACAAACACTGCCACTCACATATGCCTTATTTAAACTCTGCCGCCGTTCAGGTTCAGCTCCGTGTGCCATTGTGGGTTTTCTTCCATGAAGTAAAGCGAGGCAACAATCGTAGCAGAGATGGAACATGGCCAGGCTTACCCTTTCCAAACCCAAGACGTCTAAATCATCTTGAAGAGAACTTCATGTCCCTCAAGTAATATAGCCAGCTACTGATAAGTCCGAAATTAAGGATTAAGCCTTCCCACATTACACCTCAAGCCCCTTTGAGTCAAGCTAGGAGCATATACATTTAGGAAAATCCTTCCTGCCCTTCCCCGTGAATTTGGAATAATAGACCAATCATCAAAGCTCCATGTGACACTGGAGCCTTGAACTTCCGTAAGAAGATTTTTGGCCACAAACACATTTCTTTATTAAGTCATTGCTTGAAAGTGAATTATCTCTGTTTTACAAAATAATGTCTCAGTGTTGAGAGAACAAGCAAAGTCTCTGCCGATCGACCTTTAAGCCCTGGCTTCCTTCCTTGGCTGAGACCAAAGTGCAAGGTCATTATCATGCTTGCATCAGGCTATGCACAATGGCTACTACGTGTGACCCTAAGGGAAGAGAAGAAAGCTTCCTGACCTTGTGCAGCTCCACCGGAGTCGGGGACATGATCTCCTTTATTTCTTGTTTCATTTTCCTCAGGGGGACGGACCTCCTGCCCACCTCTGAGGGCAGAGTGTTGCTCCGAGTTGTTTGGCTATAGTGTGGCCGAGAGCTGCTCCGTTCCTGGAAGCTGGCCTGTCGCCCCAGCTGACTGCGAGGTGTTGGGGCCTCATGATTCAAACTCATCGTGCTCCCCGACATGATTGTTGCCTGTGGCATTGACAATTTTCAGAAACAATTAAGCCACAGACAAAGGAAAGGGTTTGGTTGCTCAACATTAAGCACATTTCTGCCTCTGCCCAGTCAAAATACAGTGTCTTCAGGGCATAACCAAAGACTGAAGGATGGATATAGTCACCCAAGTATGAAAATCTGGAAAAAATGCTTTGTAAGTGCCATTTGTAATGCGCATCTCAAATCCAATTTAAGTACTTAAGCTGCTGGGTTTATTTAATCAGATACCACCCCTGGCAGTTCTGAGGCAAATTGAAAAGCTCTAACATTTGCTTACTGTAAACTACATTTTAAGCATTAACTTTCCACTGAGTGGGCTCTAACGATGGGATTCACGAGGCAACCTTCAATGTGTCTTACAGAAATGAGCTAAGAACTTCTCATTGGAGACCAGGCTGCCTCTATTTGTAATGCTGCCTCTTGTCCCACCTGTAAAAACAATGGGCTAAAATGGAGCTATTGGTACAAGGACAAGAGCTCCGACCCGAAGCCCCTTGTCTATTGTCTTTCCTTTGGCCACTGGGCCTGGCCCAGAAGCTTGTAGACCAGCTATGTCTCCACATCATTTGTTTCTTAGAAATGGCCTTTGTGTAAGATCCTGAGAGAGGTTAAAGAGTAATAATTTATTATGCTACTTGGATTCAGCCCTTGTGCAAAAGCTGTGGCACCTGGATTGGATTTTACCAGTGAATTGGGATGTTACCAGTTTCAGTTTCAAATACATTCTCTACAGAAAACACCAGGAATAGCAAGCCTAGAAGATCAGTTCCCCAAAATGACTGAGTCACAGAGGGGAACAAAAAGAGCACTTGAAACCAGCATCGTGTTGGGGATGCCCCTTTCTCGAATTTGGAGGATGCTGAAATTCTGAAAATATGCCTGTGTTCCTCCAAACAATGGCTATATGAAGGTAAAGTCAAATTGGTGAATCTGCCGGAAATCCTGGGAACAGAAAACAGGTTCCATATGCCGTGTCACTGGCTGCAACTCCACGTAGAGGTTTATAATAATACTGATGCTAAAAGCAACAGAAGTGTAATCTGTTGAGTCCTTTGAATGTATTCACCCATTGAAGCCTCACAACAACTTTATGAAATAAGCACTGTTATTCCTCCTAATTTACAGATGAGGAAACTGAGGCACAAAGAGGGTGACTTACCCAAGGCAAAATAGGTAGTAAATGAGCCAAGGGCACTACCTAAAATTATAGATCAGGAGGAAACACTGCAAAGGGGGTAGAGTTTTCATTTTTAGCTAAGGTTTTATAATTCCAAATTCACCTGGTGTCCAACTATAAATATACCTCCGACAAAATTTTTGTATGGCAAATTTTAGTGCTCTTGTGCACATATTTACATCTCTGTTGAAAGAGAAGAAATAAAAATATCCTAACTAGATCAGTTTTTAAATGATAATTTTGGAAAAGTAAATGTGAAAAAACCTTCCTGGTCACTGAGCATTAACGTGTGCTAAATACCACTTATATATGTGTGTGTGTATCTAGAATATCATTTAATTATTATATCTTCCCATTTCAGTTAAGGCAAGGGATGCCTGGATAAGTTAAGCAACTTGCCCACGAGTCTTGGATTGCAACCTTAGCAATCTGACTCCAGACTTTATTCTTGACTACCAGGGTGTGTAGCTTCTCGGCCAAATATTACGTTGAAACATATAAAACTGACCTTTTTAGTCGATTAAACCGTAATATTTAAACCAGTATGAATTATCCATATTTTGGTTTCTTTCAGATATATTCCTTCCCAAATAAAACTTTTCAGTGACCAGCTTTATGGATATCCTGGGACATCCTTTTATTTTATGGCACTTAACTCACATGTATCATTTTTGTTGTTGTTTAATCTACTGTAACAGACAGCACCCAAGGATTGCTCTCTGGCTGTGGGGACCATCTACCTATTATTGTTTTTGCCTACTTAGACTAGTTATTTGCTTTTATTAACATCTAATTTTTACATTCATTTTTTCGTGGGACCAGCAGAAAACATGTTGGAAATAAAATACTTAATCACTGCAACTGGGAGACAAGTTTGCTTTGATAAGCCTTAGTCATGCAGAAGTTACAAACCGGTCTAGAAAGGGTTCTGATGGGAGCAAGGACATATTCTCAAAAGGTCTTTAGTTCACGTTGATGGCTTGATTGTTTTGTTTAAAATGAACTTCAATGGAATCAGTGACATCTCTGAAGCAATATAACAATTAAAACACAAATACATGACTATAGTAAAAAGTTAAGAAATATTTTAAATTTTCTAGGATTTGTTTGGGCTCCAAGAGTTATTTATTGCCTTTTTCTATTTTGCATAACTCATAATTTACAATTATAATTTCCTCTTTTCTACATGATCAGTGAGATAATTGGTATGTACAAACAACTTAGAAGAGATATATTTAAGAGTTCTCTATCTGACGTTTAAACCTTCTTTCTGTATTAGACAAAAAGTAAAAGCAGTGTTCATTAATCAAACAAATGGCAAAAATAATTCATTTCTATTGGACATTTACTAAGTGCCATGTAAGTATTAGCTCATTACAAACCCCATATTTTAAAGAAAGAGATATATCTGATAAGACATATTAAGTAACTTGTCCAAAGTCTTAGTTAGAATTTTTCTCCTTTGTTAAAACTATACATTTTTCAGTGCTTAAGTTGAACCTAAATTATTGCTAACAATGGGGAAAATGACTAGTATAATTTTCCTTTTCATTTCAATTGTAGTCATTTCAACTTAGTTAATCTACATTTGTTACAGTTCTAGTGCATTTTGACTTTTATAGTGGATATAAATTTCATATGTATGAACCTAGCTCAAATAATATATTTTTTTGCATAGTTAGGGTTTGCAATCAAGGGATCAGAGTTCATTTAAACTAATAAATGAATGTGTCTTTGTGATAAAAGTGTAAATAAGACTCTAATTTACGGTTTGCCAATCATTCTTTCTAGGTGAGGACTTTAATTTCTCAGCCCATTTCCCTTCTGGATAGCTAATTTCAGAAGCCACACCTGCCTGAAGGAAGCTACATTAGAAGCTTGGCAGGCGGTTGCAGTATACTCTTTATGCTGATGGGTGCTGTTTTCACTGGATAACTCAATTTTGGGGTGAAAAACACATACTGTGTTTTACATCATTTGCATTTTACCTGATATAACAGAATATTAGAAGGATAGTTGCTTCTACAAAAAAGGATCAACATGCAAAAGGCATGTGAGCCAAACACATGCTTTCAAAAGCAGGAGTATGTTCAGGAATTGTGAACTGAGCTCATCCTTCAGTTTGGGCCCCTTTAGGAAGTGGTAAAAGTTTAAATAAGCCAGCCGATGCTTAAGC